TCGGGTAACGTGTAGTAGCCCTTCTCGAGCTTCTGCAGTAAATCCGTAGCGGCAATGGCAACGTCGGTCTCGACGCTGTCGGCGCTTTGGCCTTGCAATCGTTCCCCTCGCTTGATGCTAAGACTTGCCCCGAGATTGACGCGCTCTCGAAAATATAGATTCCACAACGCCGGCGCGAAGCCCCAGGTGCGTCGGAACTGGCCCTCTATCCGCTGCGGCAAGCCGCGCGTGAGGTCAAACAACTTCACCGTGGACGCTGGCCCCATTGCAAAATGCGCGTTCGGTAGTTTCCGCTGGGCTACGCCCACTGTCGGTTTGAGCCAACTGTGCAGAAGCCCACGAGGAGTTGGGAGATCCCTCGTCTCCGGACGACGCCAGCGCGGTTGGTTCGGGACGTCGTATCCGCCAACAGCACGCGGCAGCGTACAAGGGAAGGCCATGCCCAAGTACCACGCGGTATGCTTGTTGGTCAGGTCCGTCCCGCTCTGGATGTGGACATCGCCGAACCTTGCAAACACGGACTTGTAATTATCCGAGATGTTTGACTGGCCTCTGGTGCTCCGCTCAGCGACGAGATAGGACGGTCTCAACGCGGAGACGAAGTGCTCTACCGGTTTTGCCGGCTCTGGGGGCGTCGCCACTTTGTCTGGAGTCTTTGGCCCCTTCTAGCTGTTGTACCGCATCCTGCACTGCCTGCGGGGTGAACTTCGCCTCCCCGTATCTATCTGCGTATTTCTGAGAGCACCTTTCGTGGAGGCGGGTTGCCACTCTGTCGAATGAGTTCAGGCCGTTGTTGCCATAGCCTGGATAGCCGCTGTCGCGCATGATCTCGATCAACTTTTGCATTACCGGAATGCGCAACGTCAGCCCTTTCAGGTGCTGCGCCAGGTCTTTGCTGCCCCCCTTGATGCGCACGTTCACCAGCATCGCCAACGCTTCCTCCGAATGTGGCACACCGAGAGCATCCTGCAGCAACCTCAGCCGGTCCCCGTGGATCTCCTCGGCGTGCTCAGAAGCTTCGCGACAACATCTCTCGATGTCGCCCCAGGGCATGGAGAAGCTGAAGAGATTGCCCTTCACCTGCGTTCTGGCTTCCGGCTTGCCGAGCGGGACGTCGATCAGGTTGCCGTACGGGGCCTCCAGGTAATAGACCAACATCTTACTCCACACGGTGCAGCACGCCGCGCACTCCAGCCACGTGACGTCGTTCTCCACAATGTATCGACTCACGTGGCCGTAGTAATGGTCGTTCGCTATGCTCATAGGGATGGCCCCGCCGTCGAGGAACGAGGATGCCGCCTGGTGGTCCCTCAGTTTCCAGATGCAGTAGCGGCAAACTGGCACCTCGCACTGCGGGCAGAGTTTCCTGCAGAACGGCGGCGTTTCCCAATCGTCCGAATGTCTGTCGGGACACGCGAGGCATCGGACGTCCTCAGTGCACCCGAATAACTTCCCTGATCTGCCTTCGAAGCTGAACTGGACGGCCCACCGCGACGCGTGGCGCTCCTGGTTTTCAACACAGGTGCTCAACGGTTCACTTAACACCTTTTGTCCTCTCCACGGGTACGCCTTGATTGTCTCGAGGTCCCGATCCACGTACCGCTTCTGCCATAGATCGAATCCGCAGTTGTTGAGCAGCGTCCCAGGGAAGTCCTTTTCAGCGTCCTGGAAAGCCGCCTCTTTCCAATATCTTACCTCGACGTTGCCAGACGCGAGGGAGATGGAACTCGACTCCAGGTCAACTGGCGGGTACCCCGAGCACGTCGTGCGAAGTTGGCCGCATATGAATCAGGCCAGACATCTCGTCGTCTCGTCGTTGTACCGGATCGCGAGCAGGTTCAGGGATCGCCGAGTTGTCGACAGCCCCAACATTGGCCACCGCTCCCGCTCGGCAACGGCCATGGCCCCGTATACGTAGTTCAAGTTCGTCATCCAGCGAATATCGTTTTTGCAGATCTTACTTATCACGCTGGCATGCGTGCGATCCCTGGCGCCCCCAGCAATATGGTGCAGGAAAACTGTTCGGTCACTCGTGTGGAAACGGCAAGGCCCGCTCTGGTTGTTCTGGATAGGACACGAGTACAACGGCAACTTCACTCCAGTTTCCAAGTCGGGACCTGTCAAGGCTGCGCCGTCAGCTGTCAGCGGCAGCGTGGGCCGTTCTCGCACGAGTTTGCGGAGTTCTCGGCAGCGGCCATCAATCACGTCCATTTCCACGGGCGCTCCACGGGCCTGCTCCGCGTTGGCGCGAACTGCAAAATATTGCTCCTCCACGCCGTCGTCCCCTTCGCTTTCAGAATCCTCGCTGGCGCCTTCGATTGACTCCGAAGCGATGCCTTTGTCTTTGTCGGTTGCCTCGACAGCCGGCGTTCCTGCATTGCCTGGGACCTGGAACCCCAAGAAATCGAGCACGTCCGTGACGCACTGACCTCCTTCGGTCGCCGCGACAGCCGGCATTGCCGAGGCGGCGCCCTGGCTCTCCGCCGCATTGACGTGGTCGTCGCAACTGGCGTCGCATCCACTATGCATGTCGAAAGCCTCCTTCAGATGCAATCCAGACCTTCCGCCGGTCGTGCGCCGTCCAGCGCGCGCCCCGGGCGGCGGCGGCGGCAGCGGGGCGCACTCGTTTCTCTCCCCGTGCTTCTCTCGTTCGACTTCCTCGTCTGTCCTTGCGCGCTTTGCCGGGGCACTCCCATCCTCCTGCCGCGTCGCCTGCCGCGCCGCTCCATCATTCCCGTCTCCGCGGCTTCTCTCCTCGGCGGGGGGAAGTGCCGGGGTTCTTTCATCTTGGGTTTTCGGGCGCTTCGCCTCTCTGTGCCCAACATCTTCAGTGGAGCGATCGCCGCCCGGGATAATCCCCCGCTCAGGCAACTGCTCCTGCGGGCAAACTCGCAGCCGCTCGAAGCGTGTTCGGACGGCACCCTGCCCGCCGTTATCTCGAAGGGACGTGGCGACCACCGGAAGGGTCGGATCTGCGACGTGCGAACGCGCGTATGTCAACTCGTGCGTCGCAGAGCAGTGCACAAAAATGACTAAATTCTGCCTCTTGCAACGCGCCAGCGCAAGCAGTTCGATGTCGCTGAGATAGTAATCTTCGCGTGAAGTCATTGCTTCCAGGTAGGCGGGGTAGACGGCATTAAAGAAATTGGCGGGCAGTCCGGCAGATTGGTAGTTGCACTCCCTGGCCTTGTCCACAGACTCTGCGAAAGCCGTTATAGGTTCGAGGTCGACGCCACCCTCGAAATCGAGGCCGTCCACCACGTCGTGGATCTTGCTGAGAAACAAATCGAAGGAGTTGTGGAGGCATGCATCTTCAACGACACTTCTGTGCCACTCTCGGGCGCCAGCGGTTCCCGCGAACAGCGCCTCGTATTTGCTCAAGCGGCGTCCTCCGAAGTACTCATCAGATGCTTCTGCCGTGTACTTATCCAACAGCCCCAGGGATCGCATCAGAGGCATTATGAATACATCCTGGAAATCTTCGACGCAGAGAGAACCGAACTCTCGCATTATCTATGTCTTGCGCTCCCTGTGCAGTTCGAACTTTTCCAGATCTTCCCGACCTGCCTCCACGCAGCGCAGAGCAACGTCGAAATGAGATTGGAGAAGGCAGAGCCACACGTGCTGACCTTCGTTGTCTCCCGCGTGCAGCGGAGCGCCGAAGGGAACCCACTGCTTCGCAAAAGGTTGGATCAAATCCCACAGCGCCCATTCCATATCGCCCAGCAGCTCCTCGGAAGACAGCCTCGATTTGAATATTTCAGCAGTGGGACCGAATGCGTCGCGGAGAAACGACCGAGCGTCGCGCTTGAACAGCTCACCCCACGCACACTCGCCCCACACGGAATGGATAGCGCACGCGCCATCTCCGGCCGTAGACATAGTTTCCATCAGCATCCCCTGCAATTCTCGCACCGCTCGAGGCAAGGGCGCGTGAACCTCACGTAAGTCCACGACTGGCATCCGCGTGAGATTTGTCGGAGTTGCAGGCGAGCTACGCTCATGCCAATGGCTTTACAGCAACGGGCGACTCTCGAGCAGAAACATCGACGAACGGCAACCACCATCTGCGTCCGCAATCCTCCTGGGCCCCTCTTCGACCATTATTTAGGCCCTCTTCGGAGATCTGGAGGGCCTCCAGGGCCGTCTGGGGCCTTGGGCCCTCTTGGAGCCAACTGAGAAGCCTCCAACGCCGTCTGGGAGCGTCGAGAAGCGGAGAACGCGAAACTAGGAAGGACTAGCAACAACAAACGGTGAATCAATAACATCTGCCTGGTCGGTCCATCTGCGGCCTTCCTCGGCGCTTCCTGCGAGCGTCTGGGGTGCATCTTCGGGCCTCGTGAGGAGGGCCTTTCCGAGCCTCCTGGGGCCCTGTTCCAGCGGAAACTATAGTTATCGGTTCGTACATCCACTCTTGGGCCACTCTTGAAACTGTCTTCGTCCCATCGTCGCCGTCGTCGTCGTCGTCTTTCTCGCCGTCGTCGCCGTCGTTGTCGTCGACGACGTCGGCAGCGGCGGCTGCAATGTTTGGCGGCAGTTTCCTCAAGTGCGCGGTCCAGATACTACCATGCGGCTCTGAAATCGACCGACGACGACCACGACGATCAAATCGACGACAAAAGACGTCGGCGAGAATCGCGAACGAAGCGTTGCTGCAGAAGGCGGAGAAAAGACTGAGGTTCCTCCACAGGCGTCGCTTGTCACTCTCGCTGGGAACAAATGCTGGTATCGGATGCGTTATGCTCACGGTCGCGGCACCGTTGGAACGAAACAATAGAGCTCCACCCAGTGCGTATACCTACACGAACAGCGCCCGCCATATACACTAATCTGTGTAAACATACACGATCAACATGTGCACGTCCACAGATGGAATCGTGGAAAAAGCGTCGGGCATGCTGCCTACGCGGCTGAACTAGGTGCGACGTAACACACGGTGAACCTAAACGCACGCGCTGTCAAGAACCACGCCGAAACATGCTGCACCGAAGCGGCGCATCTCACTGGACAGTAAGCTGCTCGGTTTTCGCAGTGCCCAGGACAGCAGGCTGGTCGATGGGGATTATGATTGCATCCTTCAAAAGATAAAGCATGCCCTTCGAATTCCCAATAGCCCCGCGGCCTGTCCCGTAATAGACCACGACGTCCTGGAAGTTCCGCAGCGCCTGGGACTCCACATTGTGCTTCATGGCGCAGCAAGTGAAATAGAGGCCACCGTTGTCCACTATATCGAATACCCGCTTCGCGTTCCCCCCTTGCGACATCTCCAACGACTGCAGATCCATAAACCTTACCTCTCACCGACAACCGAAATGGAGGGTTCAATTTGTTGCGGAGAGATCGAAACACGGAAACGCAGCAATCCGAAGGCGGAACCGCAAAACTCATATTGATGAGATTGTCTGACGTCGGCCGAGGCAGAACCTGCACCGTCGTGCCCATCTCCCCGCCGACGGCTTCGATCGACGTTAACGAACGAATTCGCGTCAGCAACTCCCCGTTCCAATTGTTCTTCCCTGCCCCCTGGATGCGAACCTTAGACAGGTCCACGACGCACGGAGCAACCTCGCCCCGCTGGCGACGCTCCCGCACAGCGCGCCAGATGCTGCAGATATCTTCAGCGATGTCACCCCATAAGCACGCGCTGATGGGCCCCGTCTTGTCCACCATGACCACGTCGGCCGCCTTCCCTTCCGAGGACGGATCCTTGCGCTTCTGCGGAGAACCCTCCGCGTAATGCACATCGCGGGGAGTACTATCGCAGACAATCAAGACGCCCTGAAAATGACACCTGCCACCCTCCTCGGAGGACTGGAGAATTGCCAGCGCAGATTTGTGGACAATCTCTTCGGGCGCCGAAGAAGCCGGATCAAACGCCTGCCCTGACAGAATCAGATCAATTCCAGACAAACCAGAAGTCGACGCCGCACCGGACAGCTGCGTCGATCCATGAGCCACGGCGCTCTCCTCGGCGTGTCGGGGAGCGGATTCCCCAGGACGAAACTCAGATATGCTCTCCCGCAGCAAGGAGTAGTACCGGGGAGCCTCAATTTTTTCTGGTGGCTCCGAAGGTAGCATTCTCCTCTGCTTGGCCGTGCGCGATTGCACATACTCGCTGTATTGCTCCGTGACGCCCTGCACGGCGAAAGCATGATCGTTCGCGGATGCCTTCAGAAGGAGTGTTTTACGCTCGTCTGCTTCGCCTGCAGAAACCCCAAACCCCGGGTCCACCATCGGCCGAAACGCCACGGTCGCGCCCGGGGCAGTGCCCGCGTTCCCCCGCGCACCCGCATCGCATGTCTCGCACACATACGAAAATAGTCCTCCTCCAAACTCCCTGAAGCTATCATGAGCGTCCGCCCCACTAAGTTCGACGACTTCAGCAATCTCCTCCCAAGCTGATCACACATTCTTGTCCAGCGACTCCAACAATTCAGGCCTCATGGCCGACGCAGCATCGCGAGCGAAAACCTTCTTCTCTTCGTCGCCGATCGACTGCGGGGAGATCAGCGGGATGAACGTTGACTGGGCAAACCGGTGGGCAAATGTCCTGGCATCAAGCGATTGCTTGGCGAGGAAATCACGCACGTGCTTGTAATAAAAATTAAAGGCCCACAGAGCATGCTTCTCGTCAATCGAAGTCGCTGGATCACCAGGACTATTCTTGAAGTACTGCTCTTTCTGATAATCAATGTAGCTCTGAATCTGCACAGCATCCATCTTCTCGACGAGACTCACGGCTTGCTCGGCGGCATTCTGCTCGTCGTCCGCTCGCAACTCTATCGGGCGAATGAGCGGGAATTCTTTCGCCGCCGCTCGAGAATGCAGTTCATCCACCAAAGTCGAAATGTCGTCCGCCAACTCCTCGCCGTCGGGACCTGGACCCCCCAGCGTTCGAGCAGCGTCGTCAAATCAGCCCTCGTAAACGATTTGTCGAGAGGCCAGCCCTTACCCTCGAAAACCTTCTTCAGCGACTCCACTGCAACCGCTTCGGCACTTACGCCGCTACTCGCAGGAACACGTGCAAGCCCTCAACGCCAGGCTTCTGCATGGCTTTCTCTGCCGCGCCGTCCGCTTGCACAGCGATGTTGTCGAAAGACGCCTCCACAGCCTCGTGGAAGCTCGAAGCGGACATGGCCCGAGCGCCGCGCTGGCGGATTGGCAACCTCGCTCAACGATGTAGAATCGCAAAAGCTGAGTGAACAACGGCTGAGCTACGCTCACTACCGATGATCTCAGAGGCGCGCTCGACTCGAGCCCGCGGCTCGCAACAGTGCGCCAACCCTACGTGCGCCAACCCTACGTGCGCCAAATCCCACTAGCAACGAAGTACATGCAACAACCAGATCTGCGACGCGGATCACTCAAATCCGCAACGACATGGATATCTACGTCACCCACATTTCCCTGGTTCCCGCCGCTCGCACTGAGGAGCGGAGCACTGATATCGCGTAGCACCCAGAAGCGAGCACAGATGCGACGCATTGCACAAATGCAGAGCTGAACGCACTGCACAACTAGTAGGCGGAGCGATCTCACAACCACAGGAAGATTGCTCAGAGGCAGAAGCAATTACTGGTAGCCGGAGCTACGCTCACGGCCACAGTTCAACACTGTGAGCCGGAATGGCAACAGTGCATTTTTTCGGCGTCGCCTAGATCTGAGAGTCCTCCGCCTTCTCATCCAGACACGAACGCGTCTAGAAGAACGCCATGCGTCAGCTGATGGTAGCTCAGCCCCTCCCACGCCCCATCTCCTCCCCTTCCCTCATGACCACCCATTCCCACCCTCCTCCCTCAGGCGCGGGCGCGCACTGCGCCCCTGACATGACATCTGCCCGCTGTGCGCCCGAGGCGCATCTGACGTGCCATGTCGACGAAGGGAAAGGTGAATGAAGAAAGGGAGGAGCGATGGTTGCGACTACTAAGGGTAGCTGTGTTCCACCTGCGCATTGGACTCAAACGCGCGCTATGCCAACGAACTGTTGGTCTGCGCATTTCGCACCTTACTGCGGCCATGCCGCTGCAATAGAAAACGTGCGCACCGCCGACGACGTCAAACACTTTACTGCGGCAGCTGAAGTGCACCACGCATGCCCCGGCACTCGCAGCTGTTCGCGGATGCACGGGCCGCAGGAGTGCCACGCACAGAGCTGCGATTCCAGGTCGAGCATCTCGAACGGAGGCAGCGGCGGCGGTCCAGCCCAATCTACACGGATGCTCTGTGACAGCAGCGCCAGCGCCGTGTCAGCCCCAGCCAGGGTCACGCTTCGACCCACGAGCAGGCGAAGCGCCGCCAAGCCCGTGGAACCAGCGAAGCCGCGGGTCGCAACTGACGTCCACTGCGCGAGCTCCAGCTGCGAGAACAGCACCGGCATGAATTTAGCTGTGCATCCCCCGATTGGCAGGCCAGGCCCGCACAAAGCATCCATGGCGCTCGACGCGTTGCCTTCTTGAAGTAGGGCGCATGCCCCTGGAGCTCGGCGTGCAACACCAAGCACTAAGGATGCAAGCCGTCGAGCTTTGCGCCGAGCACACGCCTGGGAGCCTGTGAGAAGCGACCGCCCGCGGCAAACGCGAATGCTGGGGTTCGCTACCTGCACCCCATCCGCGCGCGTTTGCAACAGTCTCCTCACCAAGTCGCCGCGATAGGATGAGGTCGTGAGCGGAACGCCCACGGCCTGCACCCATGCGTCCGTCCAGAGAAGGCACGCAGCGCCGACAGCAGCCAAAAGGGCTGAACCATTCGTCCTCAGGCGCCGCAGCTGACAGAGAACTGCGCGTACATCACGAGTGACGAGACACGACATGCCGAACGGGATGAAGTCGACGACCCTGTCGCCGTTCCGAATCGCCTGCTGGCTGCGCCTGATGGTGCTCTTGAGCCACGAAACGAAACTAGCAGCTGTGACGTTTGTCATCCGGCGCAAGATATTGCCCTTCCGCTCCCGCAGGCCAGACTGCTCGCGAACTTGGCGAGCATGGTAGCGCCCAGACATGTGGATGTCATACTTGCGCTTCCGCGTTCCAAAGTCCATGCTGCATGTTCTGCACCGCCACGGAGGGCCCTCGCACTCGACAGACATGGCTCACACCAGCACCTCCGTGCCGACCGCGCGACGGCGTTGGAAAGAAGAGCGTCCGCGCCGAGCTAAGCTCACTGCGCACATGTTAGGCGGAGAGAACTCACAGCCACAGGGAGATTGCTAGTAGGCAGAAGCGATTGCTGCTACGCCGAGCTAAGCTCACAGCCAAACTTCAACACTGCGACCCAGAATGGCAACAGCGACGACAACGCTGCAGGAAATATAGACTTCGGCCAGTCCTGAGCGCCTTGATGAAATCGTGGCCCTTCCTAGGAGCCTCTTGGGGCCTCACGAAGCTGCTGCGGACCCTCTGGTTTTCCTCAGACAACTTCCCCGGAGCCTCTGCAACCCGACACCGCGCCATCACGGTCCGCATTCCTCCTGGACCCCTCTGGGAGCGCTCTTGGAGCCTTCCTCGGAAATCTGGGGAGCCTCCTGGGCCGTCTTGGGGCTTGGGCTGTCTTGGACCGAACTGAAGAGCCTCCAACGCGGTCCGGGAGCGTCGGGGAGCGGAGACAGCGAAAAGACGAAAAGCGTTACCCTCGCGCGAACTGTATCTTCATACAACAATCGCGAAGGCGTTCGTGCGCGCACAACCGCAACTCCGATCAGGAGACGGAGAACAAGGAGGAGGAGCCCGAACGACTCAACTCCTGGAGCGATTCGTTGGGGCCCCTACGGGTGTCGCCATGTTCAACGAATGAGACGGAAGAGGCGAAGAAGGAGCAGGAAGACGAAGCAATGGAACATACACGGCGGATCAGCAAACATAACAAAGGAGGACGTCGAGAAGAAGGAAGAGGAAGCGCGTCGTCGATGAGTCCTCATCGTCGACGTCGCCGTCCTCATCGTCGTCGTCGCCGTCGTCGACATCGTCGTCGTCGTCGTCGTCGTCCTCGTCGTCGTCGTCGACTTCGTCGTCGACGTGGTCGTCGTCGTCGTCGTCGCCGTCGCGTCGCCGTCGCGTCAGCGTCGTCGGCGTCGTCATCGTCGTCGTCGTCGACGTCGTCGTCGTCGGCGTCGTCCACCGATTATCACTGCTGCGCAACGACGACGCTCTCTGCTTCGGCGCCTTCTGTAGCCGACAGACTTGAAATCTAATCGCCTCACTGAACAAGCGCTTCACGTCTGCAGCCTGAGCTTCTGTCAGAAAAGCGAGCTGGATGCCTACATCCTCACACTGGGTGGCCCTCACGTCTCTTCCGATGCGCCGCGGCGCTTCGTCACATCCGCCGACATACATCTGGACACCGCTCAGGCCCTTGTCCTTGATAGCTGTGGCTATGCGTCCAGACTGGCACACCTTATTGAAGCAAAGGTCGCAGTCTTCCTCTCTGACCCAACTTCTCCATGCCAACTGCGCTCAGGCATTGGAAGGAAGAGCGTCCGTGCCGAGCTAAGCTCACTGCACAGATGGTAGGTGGTGAGAACTCGCAGCCACAGGGAGATTGCTACTAGGCAGAAACGATTGCTGGTAGGCGGAGCTAAGCTCACAGCCACACTTCAACACTGTGACCCAAAATGGCAACAGCGACGACAACGCTGAAAGAAATATAAACTTGGGCCTCTCCTGAGAGCCTTGGTGACCTCGTGGCGCTTCCTCGGAGCCTTTTGAAGCCTCGCGCGGCTGCTGCAGACCCTCTGGATTTCCTCCGGCGGCTTCCCTCGGGCCTCCACACCCCGAGACAGCGCCATCTCGGTCCGCATTCCTCCTGGACCCTCTTGGAGCGTTCTTTGAGCTCTCTTGGGAGATCTGAGAGCCTCCTGGGCCGCCTTGGGCCTTGGACCGTCTTGGCACGAACTGCAGAACCTCCAAAGCCGTCCGGGAGCGTCGAGAAGCGGAGTAAGCGACAAGACGAAAAGCGTTACCCTCGCGCGAGCAGTATCCTCAGACATCAATGGAGAAGGCATTCGCGCGCGCACCACCAAGTACTCCGATAAGAAGAAAGAGGAGAAGGAAAGGGGAGCCCGAACGACTCAACTCCTGGTGCGAGTCGTTCGGGCCCCTACGACTGACGACATCTTCAACGAACTGGGGGGGGGAGGAGAAGAAGTGCCAGGAAGAAGAGGCAAGGAAACATACAAGGAGGATCAGCAAACATAACAAAAGAGGACGACGAGGAGGAGGAGGAAGAAGCGCGTCGTCGATGAGTAGTCGTCGTCGGCGTCGTGGTCCTCATCGTCGTCGTCGTGGTCGTCATCGTCGTCGCCGTCATCCCCTTGAACCGTCTTGGAACGAACTGAAGAACCTTCAACGCCGTCCAAGAGCGTCGGGAAGCGGAGTCGGCGAGAAGACGAAAGGCGTTACGCTCGCGCGAGCGATATCATCATACAACAAACGTGAAGGCATTCGTGCGCGAACCACCAGAACTCCGATAACGAAACGGAGGAGAAGGACGAGGAGCCCGAACGACTCAGCTCCTGGTGTGAGTCATTCGGGCCCCTACGGCTGTCGACATTTTCAAAGAACTGGACGGAGGAGGAGAAGAAGGAGCAGGACGACGAGGCTCGGCAACATACAAGGCGGACCAGCAAACAGAACAAAGGAGGACGACGAGAAGAAGCAAGAGGAAGCGCGTCGTCGATGAGTCGTCGTCGACGTCGTCGTGGTCGTCATCGTCGTCGTCGTCGACATCGACGTCATCGTCCTTGTCGTCGTCGTCGTCGTCGCGGCATGATGGCGCTAGCACAAAAATAGTGACAGGAACGCAAATGATTCAACATAACGCAAAACAGTCAAAATAACATTACATTTAGTACATTTGCGACTGCAGAATTG